ATATGAAACAAACCTTATAAAACTGCATGTTACAATTTATGGCATGTACATAAAACACATGCACAAGATGGCTGAGCAACATGCAAGATTGAAAGTACTAAATTACCAGGATGTATACTTTGTTTTAAAACTACTGAGTGTTTTTAATTTTATTATTATTTTGTTTTCTGTTTTATGATTCCGTCAAAGCCTTCTCAAGTGTAATTCAATTGTGAGTTACTTAAAGGTTCCCTCTCCTAGGCCAAATAACATCTTGGTCAAGAACCTTCTTCCCTCAGCCAGAACACTGAGGTTGGGTCGTCCAGCAGATAGTGACCCCAAAACAAAGCATCAAGACAACAAAGCAGGGGCTAACGAAGAAGCGACAGTACCACTCTGATATCCACTTCTACTTTGTCTACAGACTAGGGTTGGGCATAATCGTATCATGTGCAGTTAATCGTCAGAAAAACAATCAATTATTTTTTTGGCACTTGATTAATATGATTAATGCCACCAGAGCAGACTGACTGGAGATTTCTCCAGTCAGTTTGCACACAATTAATTCTGATTTTTTTTGACAATATTGCCCAACCTGACTTACACAGACTGCATTTACGTTAAAGCGCCACACTTTTTAGTAAACAAATTCCTCCGTCTGTTTTATCTCCATCCACAAGGTTTTGCCCGTTTGACCTCCCAGGTGCAACAGTTGGATTCTGGAAGCAGAGTAATTGAAGCAAAATGCAACATCTGAGCGCTTTCAGCATAAACAAACACACCCACAAACCTCTGACATGATAATCATGTATGCAGAGGTGGGTGAAAAGTTTTCCCGGGGAGTTGTTAACAAGAAGGGGTGGGGGACTCAAAGCTGCGAACAAAACGCAACGGCGACGATGAGAGTCGATCACTCTGGTTTGGATGGAGCATGCAGAGGCTTTTACTGTTAACAGGAATGGGTCGAAATCTCTCCTGAGAATGAGATGTCTGAAAACTTAGTGACCAACTAAAAGAAATATCCCCCAAGATTTCTTCACCAAACTACTAAGTCATGTTTTGCAAACAAATAAAGTATTTTTAAACTGAATTAGGTATGTAATTTGTAACTTTTTATGATTTTTTTAAATGAAACTATCATAAAAATAGAAAAGGTTGTTTTCTTGCTGAGTGAGCAAACTTGCTTAGTGCAAACCACTGTCCATCACTGTTTGGACATTGTTCTAAAGCTTGCAGGAAGTTTCAATAATCTGCACAAATCTGTAACTACATAAATTAATTAATGAATACTCACTGAGCTATATGAGCACATATGACACATGAACAAACTGAACTGACCATTAAATGTATAACACATTGGATTCACATGATGCAGATGTTTTGTGTTTGAGTTTTGCTTGTGTGTAACATGTTTCTGTTGATGCGCTGTGGGGTCTCTGTAGGGTTCTGGCTGGTGTGGGCCCTGATCATCATCCTGACAGGCTTCTGTGTGTGTCAGCACCTGAGGGCCAAGCAGCGTTTCCAGCAGCAGCGCCGACAGAATGAGATCAATCTCATTGCCTACAGAGAGGCTAACAACAACTCGCAGCTGCCTCTCTATCTCAGTAGGTTCTTCCTGAATAAAACTGGCTGTAAAAAAGAAAGGGTTTTTATGTGTCAGGACATAAGGAGCAGCTCTGGACTTCACCAGATTCTAAAGTTGTTCAGATCTAACACACTTAAGATTACTCACAAGTGGAAAATATTTAAGGAGTGAAGATCCCAGGAAATTTACTCCGAGGTCAGACTACAATGCTCCAAGAAATGGCAAATAACGCCAAGAGCTCCATCTCAAATTGGAAAAACACAGAACAAATATGACTTGTTAGGAAAAGTTGTTGTGAGATTACTCCTGCCAGCTTTTCCCAACAACTTGTCCTCATTTCTGTAATAAAAAAAAAAATACGACGACGGCAGCACAGCTTAGGTTTTGTAAAGTTTCATCTGAATGAACAAGACAGCTGGAACAATGTCTTTTAGCCTGATGAGACCAAAGTAGAGATATTTGGCAAAACCCGAACAGCATACCACCACAAACACCTCATACCTAATAATGAATTTAATTTGTACCGCACTTTTCAAAAATCTCAAAGTGCTACAAAAAAAACTGTTAAAAATAAATAATACCTACTGCCAAACACAATGCTGGAGATGTGAGGATTTAGGGTAACCGTGAACTCCTCTGTGGCCTGAAGAGTCAAATGTGAGGCTTGTTTCAGTGGTCCAGGACCTAAATTATTAATGCTTTTTTATTTATTTACTTTTATTTACTTGTTTTTCTATTAAAACTGAACTTTGTGAAGTTATACCTTGAAAAAAAAAAACCAACTTGAAGCGATGTGATAAAAAATGTATCACCATGCTAACGAGGCAGCACACAAACACATCTTCTGTAGACCAGACCGTATCATTTCACAACCGTTTATGCTGCCGACACGAGCGGTCTGCAGCCCACGCCGACTGTAGCCAACATCGGTTGCGGTCTACGTCGGTTGCAACACGAGTTGAGACACAGCTTTTGTGTTTTCGTACGCTTGAGCTAAACTTTAAACCAACAGCGTAAAAAAAACATTTTAAAATATTTAAATAACAAATACAATAATTGACTACATATAAAATATGGTAGAGAAAATATTTGGTATATTTGACTAACTTTTAAAGGTGTTTCTTGATCTTGAAAAGCTTTTATTCTGAAAGGGGTAACTGGAAGTATCACAAGTTAGACAGAGTTATAACTGGTTTGGATTAACTGAGTTGCCCAGCCTCCTTCAAACTAAACCATTAAAAACTAGTGAAAAATTTGTGTCAGTCCCAGCGATAGCATTAGCTTCCTCTATTTTTGTCTTTATTTAATCTGTTATCAGAGCTAGCTACAACTCTTGTTTGGCAGATTAGTGGTGAGTAAACCTAACTTCCTGGTTAGCTGCTCCCACCACTGTAAAATATAAAATGCTAGAACTGAAAGAAGGTAGACTTTCATTTTCCCATGACAGTACCAGGACATATTCTACACATTTTTAATGACACACATTACCAACCATATACAGTGCTATCACATCTTTTCTAAATATAGTGGAAACATGAAAGATTATCAGATTATATCTGTTCATGATCAAATATTGATTCTGTGCATCGGTACATAAAGCGGTTGATGAAACTTAAACTGTTTGTAAAAGAATGTTCTGCTAATTTGAGTTGTAAAAACTAAAATCTGATCATGTGAATAGTTTGCTAAGTCACTGTGTTCCCTCCAGGACTTTTGCCCATCTACTTCCTGCCAGCCTACGAAGACGCAGACAACCGCCCAGCTACACCTCCTCCTCCCTACACCCCCCTCCAGCCAGCACCTCCGCTCTCCGACCCACCCGACGAAGCCTCTGTCTGCCTGCCGGCCGTCTCCATCCCTGTCGATGACGACGAGGCTCCAGAGGCCACACAAATCCAGTCTCGCAGCGCTAACGGCCAAAATAAAGACTTGACGCCAGGCAGGTATCGGCGCTTCACGGGGGATTCTGGGATCGAAGTGTGTGACAGCCAGGATCTGTGGGATCAACAGGACTTTTTTGAAGAAGGAGAAATGCTGGAAGAAGAGGGGACAAGGCAGCTAGAAGAGCAACCTGATGACTGTGATTCCCACTCTGTTGAACACAATCATGTCGGTGCCACGTTCAACACAACCGTAGCTGCAAACCCACAACCAAAGTCTCTTTGGTGATCCAGATTGGTACTTGTATCCGTTTTACAGATTAAATATTTGGTACTTACAAGTTTAGTTTGTTTGTACAACACTAGTCCACACGAAGTGTCTGAAGTGGAATGAAAGTAAATATTTTGATTATTTGAAAGCTTTAAATTATTGTTGAGCGACTTTACTATTGAAGCTTTACATATGTGTATTCTATTGTTAATCAGTATAAACTGGTCAACCAAGACTCCCACTAAAATGTTCAGGATGTTTATACTTGGGAAATTATCGTTTACAGTGTATCACCTGGCTAAATATGATCTTACAAAATTGGTGCCAAAATCTGTTGTGACAAGTTTTATGGTGCGTATGTGCCTAAAAATGTATTTACAGCAAACTTAAACGGATGATGTGCACCTAATCAGTAATTTACTATTTTTCTACTACTATTAGGTGACATATGACCTTTTATGAGCAAAGGTTTTCTATTGCTAGTGACCAGTGTAGGCTCAACTCCTACAATGGTTTTAATCAGTAATAATTAACAAATAATAGTTCCTGGTGATGGACTTGCGACCTGTCCCAGGTGTACCCCGCCCCTCGCACTGTGACTGCTGGATGTGGGCACCAGTGACCCCCGCGACCCTAAAAGGAATAAGCGGGTACAGATAATGGATGGATGGATAGTTCCTGGTCACACAACGGGATCAGTTTCTCAGTTTAAATGATCTAGTATCGCACTTTTGGTTCATTATGTTGTTGAAGCGCTGAGTGGTTGGTGCTAATGTCTCATCACAGTTCGTCAGCTCTGAGAGAAATGTTTACTAATCGATGAAAACACTAATATGTTGCATCCTAAATGCAGTGCCAAAAATGATGCCAGGATGAACAGTTGGGGGCTAAGCTTTATACACCCGTAGGACTGCTAATAAAGACTATTGCTGTCTATAGGCATATTTAAATAACAAATTAGTTTTAAATTAAAGTAAGATACATTTTGATCATTGAAAAGTTTTAGTGACTAAAAAAATTTTGTGATTTGTTTTTGTAACAATGTTTGAAGTCGCCGTAAAGCTGAAATAATCTGACTTTTCAGTCCTAAACTGGGATAATACCAGCGATCTTTACAGGGGTGTGCCTCACTTTTTACTGCTTAATGACTGAGCACAGGCTCCACCCCTTTAACTCAACAGCTGATACCCAAACAACCTTTAGTGCACTGTGATTCTCATCTAATCACGTTTTGCTGTACGCAGGACTTGTGCGTCCTTGTACTTTCCCCCAAAACCATGTGCACACATCAGATTTGATTTATTCCCTGCAGTGATAAGGTCAACCAAAAACACGTGTGTAACTCTTTACACGTGTATTTTAGACACAGCGTGTCTAACAGTACAGTTACGTTCTAATGGTTGTAAATGGGTTGTGAAGCTGAAACAATCTAGTTTTATGAGGGAACCAGTTGTGTCAGCTAATAACTATGCAACTTTAAGGTGATCTTTAGCACTTGTTTCACTCCATGTATGTGTAAGATGTTCTTTGTAACAGCTGTCTGACAAATGAAAGTATTTTTGCATTGAAAAAAAAAGTATGGATAAATAAAATAAGCAGGAAAAACACTTAACATATGCATGCTTGCATGTGTTAAATTACATCTTCGTAACCTCCTGAGACCCAAGTTTTTGTTTGTGTGTATTTTTTATAGGATTAGTAGAACCTTAAGTATAACTAAACTACGTCATGATACAGGAAGTGGTTTTTGCAATGAGGACACTGGGTCTAAAAAATGCCATGCTTGTTGAGGGGTACCTGAGTCACTAACTTGCAGAACTTGAGAAACTTCATAATAGCCGTTGGGGATATCATTTTTCTAGTTGTTTTGGCAATACAGCAGCCAGTTGTTGACCAGATCAAGATCAGTGAAGTTCATCATCCTCAGCATTAATGACAACTTTCAGATTGCTCCTCATTTTGAAGAACCAACTATGTGAAATGATGACAGGAAATCACATTTGACTAGAACATCCTTGGTATAATAGTTGAATTATACCACTAGCAAGAACTATTAACGCTTGTGAATTTGTCTAAGTATACCCTGGTATGTATTAAAAATTTGTGACCAAATTTTGTCAATTACAATAACTATTTTCATTTGTGAACTCTTCAAATATTCCAAGGTTTATTGTACCACATGGCACAATCAATAAAAAAATATAGTTCCACTGTCCTCAAATGAGGACTTCATCTTTAGTAACATTGTAATTTGGTACAATTCCAAAAATTATATAATTTGCAAGTTAGAGATGTACATAGATACCCTAGTTTCAAGCATGAAATATGATTTGGATTTTTGAATTGCCCTTACCCTGTGGCAGATTCTACAATCTCTGGTGGCGAGGTCACTGAGGTGGTTAAAAAGCTCCTCGGTGGCAGGGCGCCGGGGGTGGATGAGATTCACCCGGAGTTCCTTAAGGCTCTGGATGTTGTGGGGTTGACGTGACTCTACAACATTGCGTGGACGTCTGGGGCAGATCCGGGGTGGTGGTCCCCCTATTTAAAAAGGGGTACCATAGAGTGTGCTCCAACTATAGGGAGACCACACTTCTGAGCCTCCCTGGTAAGGTCTATTCAGGGGTCCTGGAGAGGAGGGTCCATCAGATAGTCAAATCAGATTCAGGAAGAGCAGTGTGATTTTCGTCCTGGTTCTGGAACAGCAGACCAGCTCTACACCCTCAGCAGGGTCCTGGATGGGAGTTCGTCTACATGTGTTTTGTGGAGTTGGAGAAGGCGTTCGACCGGGGGGGGGGGGGGGGGTTTGTCTTTTTTTTTTTGGGGGGGGGGGGGGGGGGGGGGGGGGGGGGGGGGGGGGGGGGTGGTATATGGGGTACCAGGCCCATTGATACGGGCTGTTAGGTCCATGTTCGACCGGTGCCAGAGCTTGGTCCGCATTGCCGGTAGTAAGTCGGACTCTCTGGGTCTTGTGCATGAATGAGGGAAGAATGGAGCGGGAGATCAACAGGCTGATTGGTGCTGCCTCTGCAGTGATGCAGGCACTGTACTGGTCTGTCGTGATGAAGTGAGAGCTGCGCCAGAAGGTGATGTTCTCGGTTTACCTGTCGTTCTATGTTCCTACCCTCATCTATGGTCACAAGCTTTGGGTAGTGACCAAAAGAACAAAACCATGGATACAAGCAGTAGAAGTTTCCTTTGTAGGGCGTCTGGGCTCTCCCTTAGAGATAGGGTGAGAAGCTCAGTCATCCGGGAGGGACTCAGAGTAGAGCCGCTGCTCCTCCACGTCGAGAGGAGCCAATTGAGGTGGCTTGGGTATCTGGTTAGGATGCCTCCTGGACGCCTCCCTGGTGAGGTGTTCTGGGCACTTCCCACTGGGAGGAGGCCCAGAGGAAGACCCAGGACACCCTGGAGGGACTATGTTTCTCGGCTGGCCTGGGAACGCCTTGGGATTCCCCCAGAGGAGCTGGCCCAAGTGGCTGGGGAGAGGGAAATGGTTCTCTTAGGCTGCTACCCCCACAACCCAACCCTGTATAAGCGGAAGAAAATGGATGGACAGACTGATTTTTGCCTAGAGTTGCTGTAGGGGCTTTTTTACTTTGATCCTTGCCTTGTTTTCTCTGAAATGCATGTAATTTTGTCATGAGACCACTAGATGGTGCTGGGCTGGCAAGTGTTTTTCCTCCTTGCCTTGTTTGGAACTGAACTGAGGCAGCACCCGTGCATAATAATGTGCACATGAAACCTGCTCCTTCCTGTCTATTGACCAATGGACCGACCACCTTATTTGCACTGTAAGGCAGAAATGCACAAGGTTGAGTTACAAACAGGAGAAAGGATGTTAAAACAACACGTGAAAATAAAGACTTGTGTGGGGAAAAACAACAGTTAACAAAATAAATCATTTAACCCTCCTGTTGTCTTCGGGTCAAAATGACCCGCCACTGTGTTAAAACCCCCCAAAAAATCCCCTAAATGTTATTTTTTTAACTTGAGATTTCAAGACTTTGCCTAGATTGGCCAAAACAATAGAAAAAGTTAAATG